TCGTACTAAGTTAACCACCTTTGGACTTCTAATTGAAGTTGTAGAGCTCATTGAGAGGAATCTAATGGTGGTTGAATTGTCAAAATCGGCCTTGTGGATCACGAAATATCTTCGAAAAACGTTTCGCCAACTATGTAAAATTCTCTTGGTGTTACTATTGTTGAAAGAGAGAATTTTACATAGTCGGCGAAACGTTTTTCGAAGATATCTTGTGATTCACAAAGCCGATTTTGACGATTCAACCACCATTAGATTCCTCTCAATGAGCTCTACAACTTCAATTAGAAGTCCAAAGGTGGTTAACTTAGTACGAAAAAAGTTTTAGAATGATGCAGCCCACATTCGCAAAACCCTAATTTCTATAAATAAACTGCGTCACGTTACACTATAACCTCTCACTGGCTGACTGGCGAATCACCAATTAAATGTTATTTGTTGATCTTTAGTCTACTTATAGGAGACATCATTTTCTAATAGTTTATATAAAGGCCAAGCTACATTGCAAATCCTTTGATAAAATTTGATAAAATGATGATAATAAGACACTAAGCCAATGAATTCTTTTAATTGGTGAAGATTTGTTGATATCAAAAAATTTTTTACTTTTTTAACTTTAGCTTCTTTGGGTCTTACTCTTTCTTTGTCTATTATATGCCCAAAGTAGTTGATTTCAGATCAAAAGAAAATATATTTTTTAAAGTTCAATTTTAATCTGGTATTTTTTAACTTATTAAAAATAACTTTTAGGTATTCTAAATAGTCTTTGAATAAACTTAAATAGATATTAATATCTTCAAGATATATGATGACAAAGGTACTATTATACTCTCCTAGTACCTTATCTATCAGTCTTTAGAATGTTCTAGGCGTATTGCAAAGTCCAAATAGCATTATTTTAAAGGTGTAAATACTATATTTCATAATAAACGTAGTTTTTTCTATATTAGTTTTATTTACCCTGACTTGCTAATATTTACTCATTAAATCCAAAGTAGAAAACCATTTGGCTGTTTCAAAAGTATTTAAAAGGTTGTTAATATGAGAGAGTGGATAAGTATCCTTTTTAGTAACTGAATTTAATTTTTGGTAGTTTATACAAAAGCACAGCTTACTATTTTTTTTGGGCACTATTACTACTGGGAATACCCAGGGACTGTTCACTTCAATAATCAATCCTTGTTGTTTTAGTTTATTAATTTCTTTTTTAATAAATTCATTTTTCTCATAGCAGCTTTATAATACTCTTGTTTAATTAGAACAGTATCACCTGTACTAATAACATGTGTAGTGATATTAGTATACTTTAAATTTTCAAGACCTTGAGCAAATATTTTCACCTTGTTAAGTAGAAATTCTTGAATCCTTAGTTTTTGTTGTAAATTTAATTCATCATTATTAACCATTTCTTGTAATTTTTCTTTTATAGTTTTTTCTTTTTCCTTGCTATCTTCTTTTTGTATAAAAACTTCTTCTATGCTAGTGAGGTATAGTACCAAACTTTCTACACTATTTATGAGTCAACTTTCAATATTGTTTTCGTTAACTCCTTTTTCCTCATAGTTGAATTCGTCAAAAATGTCTTCATCTTTACTATAAACATTGTTATTTTTATATGGAACAAGACCTTCAACTCCACTATTTAAAATTGATACTTTAGCTGATCTATTAGTATATTATATATATAGTTTTTGTTTATCAAAATGAATTCGAGCTTTTGTTTTTTGAAACCAATCAGTTTCTAATAATAATATATCCTCTGATGATTCTATTATATATAAGGTGGTAGAGATCACAATATCCTTAATTATTATTCTTATATCTTTATTTTTATCCAACAATTGACCTTTGCTTTTGTAGCTATTACTACTATTATAATGAACTTATCATCTATTCTCAAACCAAGTTTATCCAATAATCATTTAGATATAATGCTTACTGCAGTGCCTGAATCTAATACAGCTAAAACCAGATTATTATAAATCTTTATATAATATCAGATAGCAGTTATATGAAAATATTCTTTAAGAAAATTTGCTTCTTTTGATAATGATGACTGTTTTAATATTTTAGCTAGATTTTTTCTTTATTTGAATATTGGAATATCTGCTCTACTGTAATATTAGTAAATAAAGATAGAATGTTGTCTGTCATGTTATAGGGTCGTAAAGAATCAATTTTTGAGGGTCTGCACCTTCTTTTTGCCTTGGCTAGAAAAAGTGAGTTCTGTATAATAGAAGAGTTTCAATTTCTATATTTTGTTCTTCTGCTATATTTTTTTAGAGTACTCTAACCATCCTGTGTAGCCTGTCTTCTTACTTTGGGTTCACTAAATATTTTGCTACCTTTTGTAGACTAATATTATCTACTATATATACTTCTTTATTATTATCTTCTACTTTACAAAAACTAATAGTTTTTGTTTGATTGAGAGTTTTCTCTTTCCCCTTTGGTTTTATAGGAGTAGTTTATTTTTTTTGACATGCAATATCTACTTATATGACCTGTTTTACTACAGTTATAGTATTAGTTCTTCTTTTTTTTGCTTCACTTAGGCAGATTGTGCCAGTATCCTTTATTCAATAAAAACCAAATTTGTGAAAACATCATTAATATTGAAACTATGGATCTGATATCCTGCGGTTACTTCATATAACCTAACCAATTATCTACACGCATCTACAGATGACCACGCCATACCAGAGTCATACGATCAATTAAGATAATACCTTCTGGGGGCTCATCTGACTACTGCTCTATAATAAGATATCGCCAATCTGATAACATCTTCTCATAGAGAAGTGAAAGAAAAAGAAAAAATTTTTAAGAAAACAAAACACAGAGGTATAGAGGAATACGTAAAAAAAAAACAAATAAAAGAAAGAAAGAGGATAAGAAATAAATGAAAAAACTAAACTAAATATAAGATTTTTCATTCACACTGGACAGTCACAATTATAAGCCTATGTCAGGCTGTAAAAATTACATATTACTATCTAAACTATTCTCTACACTAATTTATATAATTAATATGCTTAAGCAAAAAACCCTTAAAGGAAAAAAAACCAGCTTCTTCAACATCGGTACCATAGAGAAGTTGGAAGTTTGCACTGTTAGGCTTGAAGTATTGTTTGTCCAAGAGACCACATTCAAGGCACGTAATCTAGTTATCTATATCCTTGCATCTATATGTTTGTTGTGACAGGTAATTAACATAAACAATACTGCCTGATTTGGGGGATGGCTAAAGCCATGTACCCACGTGATTTTAATATTTTAATCGTTTAAATTAAAATTAAGGTTAGGATTAGGGTTAGTTGGGTGTTGATATAAAAAGAGGGTATAGGTAAAATTGCCTTCTCGACATTTTTAATTAGTGCCCAAGATAGGTTAAGACTGTTGTTTTTTGTCTTTTTGCATTTTCTTTATTTTTTAACTTCTTCAGGCTGATCTGTGTAAACAAAATTTCGCGATTCCGGTTGGTTGATTTACACAAAAAAGTCACGTGGATACATGGCTT